AGGAGTATTTTAAATTTGTCACCAGATTGACCTTGCACGTGATTGGTTGAATGCGAGGAAGGTTCACACACAGGCAATTTTGAATTTGAAGGTTAGGTTATTGACAATTCGACAGTTTCGTGTCATTATTGTAAATTTTGTGTTCTTAAACCCTTCTTTATTATATTTTGAAATAAATACACTCATAACTTCAATGTTAATTTGTATGTTTAGTATTGACGATAACAAACGAAAATAAATACAATAATAAGTAAATAAATAAATAATAATAATTATTAATTTAAATTTACCGCCAAAATATCTAGTGATATTTTCTGATGATTTTTCCTAGTGTAAATCTGACTTTCGCGTTTACTCCTCCTGGTTTAAAAACAGAGTATAAAATACTTCATATCTAGTTTGTACTGTAATTTTGTTGATTTGCTAGCCCAGTTAGGCAAGGTAACTGTATCATAGGTTACTTGTGCTATATTTTTGATATTTATTCATGTTAACTCTTTTAAATCAGTAATTAAATTATCCCTTATTAAATTATCACGTCTGAAGTCTTAATTGTGCTTGTATCACTATCAAAATCAATACATACTTCGGTTACATCACATTTTTCCAATTTTTACTGGTGACATTTTGGATTGCTTCCAATAAATGCCTTTTAACATTACCAATTTAAATATAGCATGTTAGAACCCACCTCATTTTTTATTTGAGCCCATACCAATTTAATGGTAGCCGCAACACATTTTTTTTTTGCTAACTCATCGCATACATATAAATCATAGTTAGTTTTATGTGCTTTTATTAAAGCCAATAACACGCATCGCACCATATTCTTCTCACATACAATATTTTTTTGAAATTAACAAATTTGAATTGAAAGATTTAAAGTATATTATGTTTCTGGAAAAGCTGTCTGAGGCAAAACTTGTAAGCTACTATTACCTTTGAGATTCCTATTTCTAAGAAGAACTAATTTCAGTCACAATTAATTAAACTGCAGTATTGTTCTTAAAAAAGTTTAGAACTCAAAAGACACATGATGCGTCATGGTGATAATTAAGAAAAAATCTATAACTCAATTATTGATAAAGGAAAATCGGTTTCCCGGTTACTTTACTTTCCCCTTTGAATGTAGCAAAGCACTTCGAGATCCATCGAACGCAATTCCATTAGTACCAAAGTGTTCCCATTTAATCCGATCCATTATTTACCCATTTATCCGATCAATATTATTAATAGAGTAAGATTCCAATACGAAATTATTCGACAAAATCATGCCCTAAATACTTTTCTATGCGATTTTAAAATTTTAATAAAGACGGGAAGAATTTAATTTATTAAATCGAAATTTTTCTCTTACAAATTAGTAAATTACAAGTGGATCATTATCGAAAATTACGAGCCTACCGAGAGATAACCGGTACAAACGTAGAAATATACGTTATAATTAATTGGTTTAATTCGTTTTAATTATCGTCTAATTCGGCTGGGTGTCCTGCAATTATTGCAACTGGGAATTCAACAATTTGAAATGTTTTAGTGTTGTAGCTGTACAATTTTAGCTGTCGAATATTCATAATTTAATGAACATATTTGATTTACTTATGTTAATTGAATTACTGGCCAAAATTTACAAATAATTTTATAAATTGTTATACGATATTGTTGTATTCAATAATATTATTGTTTTTAAATTAATCTGAGTAATTAATAAAAGCTGATTTTATATATTGTTTTCTTTGTAGATTCGATTGTGGTTCTGGTGTTGGACTTGTAAGATCAGAAGAAACTGTTTTGTTAAACCAATGGAATCATATTACATTGTACAGGCATCGATGGGACGCTTGGTTACAATTAAACGGAGGGAAGCACATTCAAGGTAGATCCAAGGGGTTATTTTCAAGGATAACGTTCCGTGAGCCATTATTTATCGGCGGTACGGGTAATACAACAGGACTTTCGGAGAAATTACCGGTTTCTGGAGGATTGAAAGGGTGTATCAGACACCTAGAAGTAAACGATCACCTCTACAAATTTGCATTGGAGCCCAGTGGCGAGGCATCGAAAGGATTTGGAATTGGTAAGAACTGAAAATAATTTTTCAATTTACATTTTATGGTATGAGGTTTGTTTAAATAAATGGCCACAATCGCGATCATTTAACCTACCCCAACAGTGCCACCAATCGTTGGTCGTGTTCTATTTAATTTACGTATTCGACGAATGATTTACGCTTTTGTCCAACGTTAAACTTTAATAAATTACGTTTTAATGGACAAAACTGCTGTTGTAACCATTGGGGGACCATGTGGTTGTCCCCAATGCATTCGAACACACGCAGTAATAGACATCACCCCCGCGTATACAGTTTGTGACAGATGTGAATCGTTTTTAAAGGTTTAATCGTTCCCAAAAAACCCCAACAATTTGAATTATCCCAGAAAATGATTTAGTTAATTAGATTGAAAGATGATTGTAAAATATTGGATTAATAGTTAATGCTTTTTAATTAAAAGTCTCCAGCCTAAGGGATAATTTCTCATTACGTTTGAAATAGGGTTGATTACAAAAAAACGGCTTCGCCACTTCATTTTCCGGTGGAAGTAAACACGAACGAGGCACCTACTGTACTTAAGGGGGATTAATAATTCATTAATAACCCTTGTGAAAAACGGGTTGGGGTTCAAGCTGCCCCCAATGGTAGGCTCTAATTCTCTCACAGAGGCCACGCTCTCTTCAACGACCCTCCCATTGTAGACGGGTTAAATTTTCATCGACCACTTCAATTTTCCATTTTTTATTCTAATCTTATTTCCGCATTTAATATTTTTAACCGGTTTTTTACGTTCATTAAAAACAATCGGATGAATAATTACCGACAATAAAATTAGTTTTAAAAGAAATAAAATAAAACGTTATAACATGAAATGTAAATGTAAATAAAAACTGAACTTGAAAAATTGTATAAAACAAACGTTTTAACAAATATTTTTTATTGTGTATTTACTGTTATTTTTTGTGTATTTATAAATAATATTAGTGGAATAATTTTTAAAAATGTTTAATCCTAAAAAATCTTTATTATCGGATATTTTAACTAGATCAATTATGAATAACACAGGAAGTTGATGAATTAATGTAGAATCTTACATCTAAATACATGTAAGATTTCTGTTTCTACGGTCAATTTTTCTTAATTTAAATAGCTTTGAATAGGAATAGAATGAATCAGGTTTACAGACCGAATTTAGTTATTACAAACACTTTTTTTACGCAGATTTGATTTAACACAAATTTAAAATAAATATTTGATTCTGTTTTTACGCTACTCATTTTTCATTTACACTATTTTTGGTATTATGTATAACGCAGATCTAAGCTTTTGTTGTCAGTAGAAGAAAAATGGCTTTTTTGATAGTACTGAATAATCCAATATATAGAATAGAGCAAAAAAATATTGTGCATAACTCCAAAAGTAGCCAAAAAAGCATTTTTCTTGTACATAACCTAAGATATCTCAAAATCGTGACGTGATGGCCGAATTCTAAGCGCAAATTTTGATTCCACTCAGAAAATTACTTCGGAAATGATCATTAGCTATCCAACAACAATCAACTTTCCTTTTTTGCAAAGCTGTGTAATGATTAACCTAAGTAGGTAAACTGTAGGTCGCATAGTTTACTCTTTTTCACACACATTGGAATGAAAGTCTTGTAGTGAGTTACAACAGAAGTATTTTGCAAATTTCTTTAGAACTTAAAATTCAAATTTTGAGTCACCTTACTAAATGGACCAGATATATCCGTGGGTAAACATTTAGGTCTTCATGTAGCTACCATAACCACAATGAAAAGAAATGAATCTGCAGTTAGGAAATTGGTTTTATAAGGGATAATACTAATATAGATTGAAAATATTGCACAGAAAACAATACCCACGCCCTATTTTTTTATGGTGGGGATCGAATTTGAATTACCCTGTATAAAGGAGACTACTCCGAAGATTTTATAAAAAATGCTTGAAATAAAAGTTATTTATTTTGTTATTGAGAATAGCATACTTATCAAAAAAAATGTTTTAATTTGAAAAAACATACTTAGAGATTAATGGTGCTTCTAAAATGCAATGAAGACCATGCAGAACATCATAATGTTCACCTAATGCTTCACCTGGTATATAGCCTATGTAATGTTAAAAAAGTTTCATTGTTCTGTATCAGTATTTCTTTTTCATAATGTAACAATTTTTGCAAAAGAAAAACTTTAGATATTTTTGTTTTGACTGAAAAACATAGTACATTTTTGAAAAGTTTTGTTTGAGTTTCATTATTTATAAAAGTATAGGAAAAAGTACTTTACAATAGAAAGCACCTGATTGCAGCTATTGTGCTACCACAAAAGAATATCGCGCGATTGAAATTTTACACTAAGAGAGTTTGTGTGATGTTTAAATAAATTCCAGTTTAGAATTTAATTTTAGCAACTCATTGTATGAGCATCCGCTTTTGCTTTTATGCAATTCTAACGAACAATGGCTTCATCGTTCTACGTTTAAAGTATTGTGCCAATATTAGTATGGTTGCAATCGATATGGTCCAGAATTGTTCTCTACGAATTCTGCATATCGCTGAAATCGAATATTTTTCATAATAAAAAGGTTATAGTTCAAGTCGAAAAGGTCAAATTCACCATGAAACACAAAACGTTGATTATAACACATTTTATTATAAACTCCATTTTAACTTCATTTCTATATTATCTTTTTTTTTGTTATTGAAGTTATTTCATATATTTTTTGCGGTTTTCAGTATTGAGATTTTGGCCCGATAATATAATATAATTTAACCCCATTTAAAGTTTACATTTAGCTAAATTTAGCACTCCATTTGAAAATTAAAATAACACCACACGTTACCATTCTATTTTAATAACAACGTTAAAAATATTTTCATAATATGTACACAAATTGAATATAAAATACACCACTAAAAGGAATAACTTAAATTACTGTTAACAACAATCCATTAAAAACGAATTTGTATTTTATAACATTAAAATCATTTATAACGGCAGTTTATATTTCTCTATTAATATTTGTTTTTATTATTATTTATTTTTTTTTCAGAGGAATGTACAGCAGATAGGTGTAGTAGAGTACCATGTCAACACGGTGGAAAATGTTTAACAAGTGAAACATCTGCAGTATGCCTTTGCCCTTTGGGTTTTTCCGGCGATCTTTGCGAGATAAGAGTCGACTTAGAAGTACCGTCATTTAACGGTTCAAGTCATTTAAGATACAAAGGATTAGGTGAAGAAGCCTTAACCTGGTTAGATCTTCAAGTAACTTTAAAACCAACCGCAGAAGATGGTTTGATTCTATACAACGGTCACCGCGGAAACGGAATCGGTGATTTTATGGCTTTGTATCTCCGTAAAGGACGTGTTGGTTTCGCGTACGATCTCGGAACGGGTGTCGCTGAAGCTTCCAGTCAGCACAAAATAAATCTGGGCGAATGGCACGAAGTTAGGATATCGCGAACAGGGCGTCTCGCAATTTTAGAAGTTGACAATCAAATTCCGATCGAAGTCTTATCCCCGGGGGCGTTCACCCAATTATCCTTACCACAAAATCTCTACTTGGGTGGTGTACCTAATTTCAATATGGTTTCGCCCCAAATAAAAACTCGCTCTGCCTTCGTTGGTTGCGTTCAAAAAATTGAAATCAACGGAAAACCCGTTTCGATACTCGCAGAAGCTTTAGGGGGCGCCAACGTCGATAATTGTCCACATCCATGCATCGCGAAACCTTGTGGAGAAGACGGAGAATGCGTACCGGAAATGGATTATTTCACGTGTAGATGTAAACCGGGTTACAGAGATCAATTGTGTAGCAGGGGACCACCAGGATTTAGTGGAACTGACAGTTACTTACATTTTAATGATCCAGCTACACTTACCACCTTGGTATCGGATCCATTAGATATTAATGTCCGATTTAAAATAACGGGAAGCGATGGCTTGATTTTATGGATGGATTCAGGATCCGGTGACTTTTTATCGTTGGGATTAGAACGAGGGGCGCTCGTCTTGAGGTATACAGTACGAGCAGAAGAAATCGTTGTTGTTCATAATAGTTCGACGGTTCATGATAATTTATGGCATAGAATTAAAGCAGTTAGGTGAGTAATTAAAAAAAATTTTTTTTTTAGTATTAGCTGTTAAATGAGTTGTGGGGAGTTCGATTGAGTGATCAAAGAGAAAGCAAATGTTGATTGTTATGGGGTGTTGTATTAGAAAATTAGGTGTCTAGACAGGGAACAAAAAAAATGATAAATAATTTTAAAACTTAAAAACCATATTAAAACAAAATTAAAATGGTAACTTCAAGGTAACCTAATAACATAAAGACACGTGGAAAAATTATTGCATCACACAATTGTATTAAAGCTAAATCTACTTCAGTGTGAAGATTTCGTCTGAAGAAGTCGTATATATCAAATATTTCTACTTCACTACCTCATAAAGTGATACAAAATTAAAAAATTGAGGTTGTATCATGTAATTTTGCAGTGCTTTTAGTTTCTATAGGCGGAAACTGCGAGCAAAAACAATTCTAATCTTTCTCGCAACGGAATACGATGTTTTATTTGTAAGAATGTTGATTAAATTGCGAACGGATGGCCCACCAAGATTGAAGCCTTACGATAAATTATTTGAAACCTTATTTAGGAGGTTATAAATACTGATGAAAATAACGTCTAATTTTCGTAGCACAAAGTTGTTTGTCAACAAAGAGACGCTTTTCAAATGGGATTGTCTGAAGTCTTTTTTTAATATTGATAACAGATCGAATTTTGTAAAATCTATCATGTTTTTTATCTAAGATGTTTGGTTTAGAATTATTATTGAAGTAGAAAATCTCGTATTTTTTGTTATTAAAAGTGTCAAATTTAAAATGTTTGTGATTTTGAATCCGTTAGGTTGGTAATTATGACAGTTGGGTTATAATCGCTTGCGGATAACGTTTCATTAGTTTATTATTAACAATTCTTACCCACAAGATTTTCTTCTACGACTTTTAATTCTCGAATTACAATAAAATTTTCTCCAAATGCTACAATTTGCAAATATAGGAATTGTATGTTGTATAACTACAAATGCAATATACTTGGAAAGAAACTGTACATAGATTATATTTTTGTGCTGCATTATGAACAATTCTTATTCATATTATTCGCATCTACAGTTTTTAATTATTGAGTCAAACCCTACTTTGTTGTTAAATGTGTCAAATTTGAAATTTTTGGGATTTTGAATCCTCTAGGTTGGTAATTATCATAGCTGGATTATAATTGCTTGCAGATAACGTTTTATTAGTTTATTATTAACACTTCCTGTCCACAATATTTTCTTTTACAACTTTTAATTCTCGAGTTATAATAAAATTTTGCCCAAAAACTACATTTTACGGATATAGGGATTGTATGCTTTTTAACTACAAATGCAAAATACTTGGAAAGAAACTGTACATAGATTATGTTTTTGTGCTACATTATGAACAATTTTTATTCATATTATTCGCATCTACAGTTTTTAATTATTGAGTCAAACCCTACTTTGTTGTTAAATGTGTCAAACTTGAAATGTTTTGGAATTTAAATCCGCTAGGTTGGTAATTATCAGTTGGGTTATAATTGCTATATATATCGTTTTATTAGATTATTATTAATAATTCTTATTCATAATATTTTCTTCTACGACTTTTAATTCTCGAGTTATAACAAAACTTTCTCCACAAACTACAATTTAGTGATTGTATGCTTTTTAACTACAGATACAAAATACTTGGAAAGAAACTGTTTATAGATGATGTTTTTGTGATTTACTATAAACAATTTTTATTGATATTATTTTCATCTACAGTTTTTAATTTTTGAGTCAAACCCTATTTTGTTGTTAAATGTGTCAAATTTGAAATGTTTGGGATTTTTAATCTGCTGGGTTGGTAATTACCACAATTGAGTTTGAATCGCTTGCTGATAACGTTTTATTAGTTTATTATTAACAATTCTTATCCACAATATTTTCTTCTAAGACTTTTAATTCTCAAGTTATAATAAAACTGTCTCCAGAAACTACATTTTACAGATATAGGGATTGTATGCTTTTTAACTACAAATGCAAAACTACATATAGATTATGTTTTTGTGCTTTATTATGAACAATTTTTATTGATATTGTTCTCATCCACAGTTTTTAATTTTTGAGCCAAACACTATTTTGTTGTTAAATGTGTCAAATTTGAAATGTTTGGGATTTTGAATCCGCTAGGTTGGTAATTATCACAATTGGGTTATAATCGCTTACAAATATCGTTTTATTAGCTTATTATTAACAATTTTTATCCATAATACTATAATAGTTATAACAAAACTTTCTCCAAAAACTACAATTTACGGATTGTATGCTTTTTAACTACAAAAGCAAAAAATCTGAAAACAAACTGCTTATAAATTGCCTTTCCAGTTTATCCTAATATTTAAGTAATCAACTAATAGTTGTGTTTGAGACTTACTCCTACATTATACCATCAACACTTTTATTATAATTTTATTTTAATACTGCACGAATTTCCGACTAAGAGGTTCGATATGGCGTTTAATTTGCGTGTTAATTAAGTTAAGCAGTTTCTAAAACATCGATTAGAAGACACAATGTAACCGCCAAGAGAAGTTAAGTTTTGTTGAAACAGCACGATGCTACCTTACGCCTCAATCTCACACACAAACGCTGATGGAACCGGTACAACATAAACTAGTAAAATAAATCAACTTAGCAAACTTCCGGTCGTGCGAATTCAGTCGCTAATCAGCGTCAAACGCTCCCGAATTAGATAACAAGTTTAAACTAACCTCGAATTGCATCAGGTATTTTTCTTTACTTGAATCCTAATTTTCTAAATAATTAAATACAAAAAAGTCTTTATAATTTTTTATCTGCCCAATTATTTTTATTTTCCCTTTTTCTCGGAAGTAAATTTAAATTATCACCTTTAATTAAAACGGTATTAACGATCTTGTTCTGCATTATCAAAACCGTTTTTCTGCTTCGTTCTACAAACTTTTTTTACGACTAAGCTTCTCCTTTATAGTATACGGTTTAGAAAAGCCGTTAAAATTCCATCTCGTCTTTTCCTCTCAGGGTATTTCCACTTTTTTTATTGTTATTTTTTGTATCCTTTTTCTCCTCGTTTCGACCAATATTGTTTTTATCCTTTTTATCCCAAGGGGGAATAAAACTTTGTTCAATTCCATAATTCATACGTTAGTATCCTGTTGAGGTGTAAAAAAGTTTATATTAGTTTCGAATTTCTAAAAACCGTTAAAAGTAATTTTAATCCGAATTGAGTATACATAGGATTCAATTATAATTATTGTAATCTATTTATTTATTTCTGTAGGAATGGTGGATCTGGTTTATTAGTTGTAGATAATGGTCCAGGTATAACTCATCAATTTGTTGATGTTCCATCACAAAGAGCAACACAAGAAGGACTGTTCATCGGTGGAATTCCGGATGAAAATTTAAGTACTGGTGGTCGTTATAAAAATGGTATAAAAGGATGCGTTGCTGATTTAGTTTTAAACACAAATTTCCGTTTAAAATTAGTTGGTCACACAGCTGCGAGTAGAAACGTATTGGAATGCGAACTTTGAGACGAGAAACACAGCCACAAATTAAAAAGTTTATAATAAAAAAAAATATATCAAGAGCACGCCACAATAAACTAAAAATCGAAAGAAAAAAAATAAACGCTACGCGAATAATATAGTTTCTACTTTTTTAATGCCCTTCGAAAAGAAAATTATGAACAAATAAGGCTGATTAACTTATTTTTTCGAGACGGATTATAAGAGATTATAAAACATAGAATGGGGAAACAACCAAAAACGAAAATTATCTAGAAAAAAAAATGAGAGAGAGACTTGTGAATTGAGTCAATATAGTTTTTTGTGTGTCAATATCACTTAAAGAAAAAAATATCAGTGGAAACGTTTAAACAATTTGTGTTTAGAGAAGAAATATTAAAAAAAAAATAAAGTCGAAAAAACATGTAGATAGTAAAGAAAAAAGAAAACCTGAAAAATGAGTAATGTAACATTAATTTTAAGCTTTTTTTTATACTCAATTTCTTTAAAAACCCAATCCTTTTTATATAATGATCGTATTGTACGCTAAATCTTTAAATTCTATTTCGTAAATAAATTCTTTCCTTACAGAGATTCAGGATTTAACACTAAATTATAATTACGACAAAAAAAAGTATTGTTTTATTTAAAAAAAAAAGCCTAACTAAAGATCTATTCTTTTTTTTTTATACAGAAAAAAGAATAATAACAAATGTCAATTGATAGTGAAATCCTGAAACTCATTCTAAAAAGCTCTAAATTAATTTATTAACTTGAGAGAAAAAATTTGTATGAAGTCTGTCTTTAACGAAAAAAAAAAATAAAATAAAAAATGAGGAAGGTAAGCACGCATTTCTCTGTTTATCAGCAAAACTGCAATAACTTAAAAAAATATCAAGATGAAATCATCATCAAAGTAGTTGTAATAAACGGTCCAGTGTAAAATTCACATCGTTATGTATAAGAAAAAAATAAATGAATTAATAAAACAGAACAAAAATACCTAAGAAAATATATTAAGTATGTATATGAATGACGTAAGTAAAACCTTATTTGTACAGGTAGGATAATTTGTGTGTTAACAATTACAAATTGCTTTTGATTTTTGTTGTTTTTATTTAACAATTTCCTCTAATCCCAATTATGATATTAATTGTTATTTGTATACCAAGCTTATTAACAAATACCTAGGGATAATTAATATCAGGCAATAAACTCCCACATAGTCAAAACGAAGAAGAGAAGGCCCGCTCCCCTCAGCCGCCAGCAATAATAATAATAATCTTTATTAAACACTCAATTAAGTTGATTGAGACAACCAGCCATTTGCTCCAATTTGTTACAGTCATCTCCTATAAATCGCATTTAAGCAATCTTCTATCTTTCTAATTTGCTTGCTAACAAAATTAGTATCTTTTATTAAAGAAATTAGTTAATTACATTCTAAATACAAATATACACAAGCTAATTTCACTTTAAATCTGGAAACTTCGCTAACTAACGCATTAATTTTGTTACCATTTCAACTGGCAGGTATATAAAGTTCTCATTTACTGATGTTTTAAGAAATAATAATTTTATAGACATTAATAAATATATTAGTTAACAATACAAATGATTTCTTTGCCAGCTAGACTGACTAGAAAGCTGGATTTTGTATATACATTAAACAAAAATCTTAAATCATTTCAATTTATTTTATTTTTATTAAAAAAAAAACAATTTTTTATTATTTTATCGATATCTATCACGATCTCTATCTCTCCTCCTTTCATCATCTCTCTTTCTATCATCATCCCTTCTTCGATCATCCCTCCTTCGATCATCATCTCTTCGCCTTTCGTCATCTCGTTTTCGATCATCATCTCTTTTCCTATCCTTTTCCTTCCTGTCCTTCTTCTCCTTCTCCTTTCGATACTTTTCCTTGTCCTTTTCTCTTCTCCTTTCTTTAGATCTACTCCTACTCCTGTCCCTCTTCTTTTCTTTGTGCCTCTCTTTCTCTTCTTTTTTCTTCCCGACATTTTCAACTTTAAATTTTTCCTCTTCAAACTCTATTTCTTCATCCAAATCATCTTCTAAAGCGGAAACCTTGGCTTCTATCTCGTTATTTTCTTCTAAAACGTGTCTTTTCTGTATTCTTGGTAAAATAACATCACAAACTCGATCGGCTCTTAATAAATCATCAATAAACTCGTCCATGTGAACCAATTCGAATTGAGCTGAACGATCTTGACGTCGTAATTTACGATTATCATTGTACAAAGGTTCCAAATATTTGTAACAATCTAATGAAGATCCCGTTAAACGCATATAAAAAGCACCTAATGCTCTAACATATTTAAATTCTTCGTTTTTTATGAATTCGACGACGATATCCTTTTCAGGTTGGATTTGAAGCATTTTTAAGGTTAAACAGAGAAAAGGGGTTGGTTTTACATTACCACTATGTACACCACCCACAAAACGTAATTCCATAGCTTTATCAACTAAAAGCTCTGCAGTTAAAGCAAAACATTCTTCTTTCCAATATTTTGAGTCGTAAATACGAGAACGGATGATTTTTTCGATTAAATATTGAGGGTTTGTACCGTGAACGGATTTCGCATCTTTTACAGTTCGATTTGCCATTTGAATACTTTATTTATCACTTAACATATCAATTAATTGATGTTTTAGACAAAATTTTAATGTAACCTTACTTTATAAATGACATTTGACAGATCGATTGACATAGGTTTTCGTGTTAAGTTAGCAACATGTTACAAACGATTTTAATTTTTAATAAATTATTTCTTTATTAGTTCTAATTTTTACACATTTTAATTCGTGTTTTACATAAAATAAATAACTTAATAACTTTTTTAAGTAAAAACTTAAAAAATAATTAATAAACAAGTTTTGACGTGCGTTTCCATGTGAAGTTAGCTGTTATTCAAATAAATTTGCTTAATAATAAATAAATAAAGTAATAATAATTAAAACGTGTTAATTGATTGTATCAAACAATTTATTTAATTTCGTTTTTACATAAAATAATCATTTTGGCATAACCTTACATTTTTTTTCTCTATTTTAATAAATGCAAATCTTTAGCAATAGTGTATTCACTAACGTGCATCATACAGCTCCTACATTTTTCAAAATTATTGATAGCAGTTGTTTTGGATGCTTCCCAATTATACAAATCCCTGTATAAAGGTCTTGTGTACTTCATCCTTCCAACTCCATTTAACCAGCTCAAAATTCCTTCAATTTTCTCTTCCCATCTTCCCTTGATACAAATTCTAAACCATAAAAATTTCATTTCCGAATTTTTAACATCAGAAAGATCAAATGCGGTTTCAAGACCTCGCAATTTTTCGAGAGATTGAGGTTCTTCTTTTAAAATAAGACGAAGAAAATGAATTTTCTGATCTGGAATTAAAGCAGCAATGTCCTGTGAACTAATCGGAAAACTATCTTGACCATTCCATGAAATGAATTGTTTAATATAGTCTTGGCATGTATTTCTTAGTGTTTGATCGTAGTCTGGGATGATGGGAGGCATTCCAGTGCCATAAAGCCATGTATCCCAATCAATTTTTGTAATTGCAGTGTTTGATTTAAAATGATTTTTGAAATATTCTTGAAAATCGCTGGTTTTTATTGATTTATATTTATAAGTTTCAAAATATGTTTTAAGAAAGCTTTCAAATGCTGTTATTCCAACTAAGCTTTGGAGATATCTCAAAAAGATGTATCCTTTTTCATAGGGAATTAAAGAGAATGAATCATCTGGGTGAACACCTTCTAAATTTAACACAAGTTTTGTAAGTGGATCCTTTTCGCCCATTCGATTTACCTTAAAATATAAAATTTAATAGTTTTGACGTTATATTGGTGATAATTTAATTTAATACCGTTTCTTGTAGTTCTAAATATCCTTCATAGGCGTGAAAATCTTCATATTTAACCCCTTGAAGCCTGCCTAATACCTTTCTCTCAATAAACATTGTAAAACCTTCATTTAGCCAAAAATGTTCAAAATTAGCATTTGTAACTAAATTTCCTGTCCAACTATGTGCTATTTCATGAGCAACAACATTAGCTAAAGAACGGTCACCTGCCTAAAATACCCCAACATTAATACTTTTCTTTTCTGATAGAGATATTTTTGATTTTCTTACTAAAAGTGTTGGTGTAACAAATGTTAAACAAGGATTTTCCATTCCCCCAAAAGGAAAACTAGGTGGTAATACCAACAAATCATATATTCCCCATACATATGGTCCACAAATATCTTCTGCCGTTTTTAATTGCCGCTCGGTATCACTAAACTCAAAAGCGGCTGCATCAACAATTTCCTTTTCCGCCCAAACTTTCGATCGAGGTCCGATTTCTCTCGATTCTAATTCTCCAGCTGCCAAGGCTATTAAATACGACTGGACGGGGATATTTTGTTCAAATGCGTACATTGTACGTTCTAAAAGAGGTTTTTTATGTTTATTGATTGCTGACATAACAACAGTTAAATCTTTGGGGACAGAGATCTAAAAATTAAAAAAAATATTGTTGGAGTTATATTTTGGATTTTTTTAAAGTTTAACTTACAACTGCTGTATATTTAGTTTTAACTGATGGTGTATCTTGGCAAGGAATAACAGATCGAGCATGGATTGCCTGTAATTAATTAAATAATAACACAAGGATTTTTATTAAAAGTTAATTTACCTGAAATTGACTAAAAACGAAAGGAAATTTCTTTCCTGCAGTATGTTCAGGATTCAACCATTGAAGCCCACTTGCATTTGGGCTTGTTTCATATCTTACACTTATGATGTAGCTACAAAAAACCATTTAAATAATGATAAAAAAATAATATAAATATAAAATATCCTAATATATGTTAAAAATTATACTCTACTATAATTATTCTAACTTTTCTAGGTTTTTATCTGGTAAGGCAACAGTTAACTTTGAACCAAAGGGTCCTGTTTCAGAAATTTTATAATCCAATTTAATATTTGATTGTGTCTCATATATAGCTTCAATATTTAAATCTTTAATATCTAAAATCTTTTATTAATAATTAGTAATAGATAGCTCATTTTTATATCAATTTCATACGTACAACTTCTTCAACTTTTTGATCTACTTTTTGTACTGTTAAATCGGTGTTTCCACTGATGACTCTACGAGTAAAATTAATGTCCAATGCCATGAATATGTTAGTAACAACAGCCAGGTCTACAAAAATTAAAAAAGATGTTATAACCTAAATATTTTATGGATTCATATGGAATGTTTTGTATGTACCTGGCCTGGAAAATGAATTGGGGTCCATTGGGCTTAAACCGCTTGAAGGCATTTTATAGGTAATGCGCGTATTATTACGTAGACTGTAGGCTCCACTAACAAACAGAACACTTAAGCAAGAGTGAAATAGATTTTTTTTAAGGTTAAGTAGACCAAAAAATACTCCAAGTGACATTTCTCGATAAGATAAAACTGATTAACTCAGATTAACCTATAGTATTGCATAAAGAAGTAATTTGGTAAACATGTAAGTTATTTGTGTAAATCTGTAACAAAAATATGATAAAAATAATTTACAATCAATCAAATGGGGTTATTAATTTTTATTACTTCGCTTTATTATTTTTTGTTCATTGTTGGTTTAAAATTAAATTTAAAACATAATTGAAACAAATAGGGGGCAAATTCGTCACGAAAAACTTAAAATAATTAAATTTTAGTCAACTAATTTAAAATTTCCGCATTAAATTGTGATTTAATAAAATTCTAATAGATGGCGCCGTTTATTAAACTAACATAAAGTCCCTAGATTTACAAAGTACCGCGCAAGGTCTATAGAACATCACGTTATATGGCAAACTACTGGCACTATTTTTGTGAAAATTTGCATACGGGTTTACCCGAAGTGCTCGTTTCAGCTAAAATATTTTTAGATTTCTCCAACTTGCGGTTATACCGGAAATGGACCCCAACTTCGTTATTTTAACAATTTTGATTGAATTTTCGAGATCCCTGCCAAATTTTAATACAATTTGATAAAGTCATCATATGTCTAGAGTGCACCATTTTTCAATTATTTCAGTCATTTCGAAAATTTGGGCAGATACAACTCTTCACAATAAAAATAATTTTTCGAAATTACACTCGAGTCCGGCCAAATATTCCCAAAGTTTGCACAGAGACGACCCATAGCTTACATATTTAAAGCAACGCCCAAATTAGGGTTGCCATTTAAAAAAATTAAGTTTTCGACTTTTCGAGATAGGGATTCGGGGAAAATTTCTGACCAATCTGTATAATTTTTTAAAAAACTTTTCAACTTCGCAGGTTGGTGACTGTCAATTGGCAGTCAAAAGTGCGGTTGGAACGAATCTTTTGTTTAAATTTGCTTAATAATAAATAAATAAAGTAATAATAATTAATTCGTTTTAAAACGTGTTAATTGATTGTATCAAACAATTTATTTAATTTCGTTTTTACATAAAATAATCATTTTAATAAATGCAAATCTTTAGCAATAGTGTATTCAGTAACGTGCATCATATAGCTCCTATATTTTTCAAAATTATTGATAGCAGTTGTTTTGGATGCTTCCCAATTATATAAATCCCTGTATAAAGGTCTTGTGTACCTCATCCTGCCAATTCCGTTTAACCAGCTCAAAATTCCTTCAATTTTCTCTTCCCATCTTCCCTTGATACAAATTCTAAACCACAAAAATTTCATTTCTGAATTTTTAACATCAGAAAGATCAAATGCGGTTTCAAGACCTCGCAATTTTTCAAGAGATTGAGGTTCTTCTTTTAAAATAAGACGAAGGAAATGAATTTTCTGATTTGGAATTAAAGCAGCAATGTTCTGTGAACTAATTGGAAAACTATCTTGACCATTCCATGAAATGAATTGTTTAATATAGTCTTGGCATGCATTTCTTAGTGTTTGATCGTAGTCTGGGATGATGGGAGGCATTCCAGTGCCATAAAGCCATGTATCCCAATCAATTTTCGTAATTGAAGTGTTTGATTTAAAATGATTTTTGAAACATTCTTGAAAATCGCTGGTTTTTATCGATTTATATTTATAAGTTTCAAAATATGTTTTAAGAAAACTTTCAAATGCTGTTATTCCAACTAAGCTTTGGAGATATCTCAAAAAGATGTATCCTTTTTCATAGGGAATGAAAGAGAATGAATCATCTGGGTTAACACCTTCTAAATTTAACACGAGTTTTGTAAGTGGATCCTTTTCGCCCATTCGATTTACCTTAAAATATAAGATTTAATAGTTTTGACGTTATATTGGTGATAATTTAATTTAATACCGTTTCTTGTAGTTCTAAATATCCTTCATAAGCATGAAAATCTTCATATTTAACCCCTTGAAGCCTGCCTAATACCTTTCTCTCAATAAACATTGTAAAACCTTCATTCAGCCAAAAATGTTCAAAATTAGCGTTTGTAACTAAATTTCCTGCCCAACTATGTGCTACTTCATGAGCAACAACATTAGCTAAAGAACGGTCACCTGCCTAAAATACCCCAACATTAATACTTTTCTTTTCTGATAGAGATATTTTTGATTTTCTTACTAAAACTGTTGGTGTAACAAATGTTAAACAGGGATTTTCCATTCCCCCAAGTGGAAAACTAGGTGGTAATACCAACAAATCATATATTCCCCATACATATGGTCCACAAATATCTTCTGCTGTTTTTAATTGCCGCTCGGTATCGCTAAACTCAAAAGCGGCTGCATCAACGACTTCCTTTTCTGCCCAAACTTTCGATCGAGGTCCGATTTCTCTCGATTCTAATTCTCCAGCAGCCAAGGCTATTAAATACGACTGAACGGGGATGTTTTGTTCAAATGCGTACATTGTACGTTCTAAAAGAGGTTTTTTATGTTTATTGATTGCTGACATAACAACAGTTAAATCTTTGGGGACAGAGATCTAAAAATTAAAAAAATTATTGTTGGAGTTATATTTTGGATTTTTTTTAAGTTTAACTTACAACTGCTGTATATTTAGTTTTAACTGATGGTGTATCTTGGCAAGGAATAACAGATCGAGCATGGATTGCCTATAATTAATTAAATAATAACACAAGGATTTTTATTAAAAGTCAATTTACCTGAAATTGACTAAAAACGAAAGGAAATTTCTTTCCTGCAGTATGTTGAGGATTCAACCATTGAAGACCACTTGCATTCGGGCTTGTTTCATATCTCACACTTACGATGTAGCTACAAATACATTTAAATAATGATAAATAAAATAATATAAATATAAAATATCCTAATAAATGTTAAAAATTATACTCTAATATAATTATTCTAACTTTCCTAGGTTTTTATCCGGTAAGGCAACAGTTAACTTTGAACCAAAGGGTCCTGTTTCAGAAATTTTATAATCCAATTTAATATTTGATTGTGTCTCATATATAGCTTCAATATTTAAATCTTTAATATCTAAAATCTGTTATTAATAATTAGTAATAGATAGCTCATTTTTATATCAATTTCATACGTACAACTTCTTCAACTTTTTGATCTACTTTTTGTACTGTTAAATCGGTGTTTCCACTGATGACTCTACGAGTGAAATTAATGTCCAATGCCATGAATATGTTAGTAACAACAGCCAGGTCTACAAAAATTAAAAAAGATGTTATAACCTAAATATTTTATGGATTCATATGGAATGTTTTGTACCTGGCCTGGAAAATGAATTGGGGTCCATTGGGCTTAAACCGCTTGAAGGCATTTTATAGGTAATGCGGGTATTATTACGTAGACTGTAGGCTCCACTAACAAACAGAACACTTAAGAAAGAGTGAAATAGATTTTTTTGAAGATTTAACCAAAAAATACTCCAAGTAACATTTCTCGATAAGATAATAATGATTAACTCAGATTAACCGTAAAGTATTGCATAAAGAAGTAATTTCGTAAACATGTAAGTTATTTGTGTAAATCTATAACAAAAATGTGATAAAAATAATTTACAATCAATCAAATGGGGTTACTAATTTTTATTGCTTCGATTTATTTTTTTTTGTTCATCGTTGATTTAAAATTAAATTGAAAACATAATTGAAACAAATAGGAGGCAAATCCTTCACGAAAAACTTAAAATAACTAAATATTAGTCAACTAATTTAAAATTTCCGCATTAAATTGTGATTTAATAAAATTCTAATAGATGGCGCCGTTTATTAAACTAACATTTTTTTAAAAATTCTTTGATAATTTTCAGTATATTTTATATGCGAAGTAAATAAAGAGATGGTATTAATCTTCCCAGTCGTATAAGGTCATATTTAGAAGCAAGGATGATTGAACGAAGGGTGAGCCTCACCAAGAGGAGCCCTTACCTGGTACACTGATGGTATGGGCATTAGTAGACCAAATAACCGCATTAAATTGCCTATCAGCTCGGACATAACCATTTTTCAAGCAGAAGTTCTTGCTATAAACTTCTACACCGTTTTGAACCTAGAAAAGGGACAGAAAGCTGCATCCATAAACATTTTCAGACAATCAGGCCGCCCCAAAAGGCAATTCAAGCCTACACGTGTAACTTCGCTCTGATCAGAGAGTGTGAGAACTCGCTAGGGGCAATTATGTTACTCTCTATGGTGGGTTCCAGATCACAAAGACATTGAGGGCAATGAAAAGGGAGACAAGCTGGCCAAAGAGGCGGCTTAACTGGGAAAATTTTTACACCTAGTAAAGTTAGGTCTAATTTTAAGCCCTTAATACACCTGAAGGAGGTGGAATTCTGAAAATGCAAAAATAAACATTAACTCAACTTGCAATGACTAAGTACCTGGAAAAAATTGTTTTGAAATAAAGTCTGGAACTTTCCAGCAATTGACATTTTTTGATAAGATTATTTATTTTATGATTAACTGTTAAGAATTTATTAATAAAATACTTTATCGTGTTAATTGAATAAATATAATAACAGAAAACTCAATAAAATTTATTTATCATTTTAATTAAGCCGATAAAGAAGTTATCTATAATACCAAGTTCAATAACATCGTTTAAATGTAAAGTGTGTTGTATAAATTAAAGTGAAAAAGAAACCAAAATGTAAAATACCCCATTACACCACAAAACCAACAAATTAATTAACCGTAATCTTTTTAAAACCGTTCGGTACTATGTAAATTACTTTCTAATCTGTCACTGAACAACACCAAATTGCTTTAATAAACATAACCTCAACACGAACAATGTCCGCATCTTGCGAATTAGAACCGGGGGCTACCTCCGAAAGCGTTTTGGTCGTTTCGGAATCATGCGATAATCTGGAAAACATGACCTCGAGCCTTGAAGAAATCAAAAACAGTAATAATTCCGTTGTAAGTAACTCGGATACAATCGATGGTGGTAATAATGTTGATAACTTGGAGAATAGTTGCGATAGCAGTAATAATTTTGTACAAGACGATGATTACGTACGAAACAAAGATTGGCTCTCAAAAAGGAAACACATATTCGTACTAAGTTCAGCTGGAAAACCAATTTATTGTAGGCATGGAAATGAAGATAAATTAGCCACATTATTTGGTGTAATGCAAGCTTTAGTCAGTTTTGTACAAGATCAAGATGATGCTATACAAAGTGTTCATGCTGGTGATACTTTGATTGTGGTTTTAATTAAAAATCATTTAATTTTGGTTGCTGTTTCAAAAACTGGTGAAAGTGTACAACAATTAACAACGCAATTAAAGTAAATTTTAACACAAATGTTTTTTTTTTTGTATTTTTATGTTATTTTTTTAGTTATGTGTTTAATCAAATTACAAGCGTTTTAACATTAACACGTTTAAATAAAGTTTACGAACAAAGGCGAAATTATGATTTAAGAAGATTATTATCTGGAGTTGAAAGATTAATTGATCACCTATTGGATTATACAGAAAGAGAACCTTCTTTTATTTTAGGTGCTGTACAATGCTTGAGTTTAACAGCATCTGTAAGAGATACAATAAGTTCAACAATTATTCAATCTTGCAATAAAATTAAGGTTTGTATTACAAGGAAGTTAAATTAAATAACATTTGTTTAATTTGTTACAGAATTTAGTTTTTGCAATTTTATTAGCGAATAATAAACTAGTAACATTAGTTCGTATGAAAAAATATGGAATCCATCCAGCCGATTTACATTTAATTTTAAATTTAGTTCAAGCATCAGAAAGTTTTAAATCCGCCGAAAGTTGGACACCTTTATGTTTACCAAAATTTGATTCAAGTGGCTTTTTATACGGTCACGTTTCGTACCTTTCAGAAGATTGTCAAGCTTGTCTTTTATTACTAACAGTCGAACGAGACGTTTTCTTTACATTAAGTGAAGCAAAGCAGAAGATTGTTGAGAAATTACGCCGTACAAATTGTTTAGAAAAAATTAACGAATCAATGAGTATGATAATTGATCCAAATGTTCCTGTTGATTTACCTGATTTGAGACATTATCTGTATAAATGTAAATCGACAGCACAATTTTATCAACCGCATCTAACGCCTCCTTATAATCAAAATGTAACATATTTATTAAGCTTGTATAAATCAATCCATCAATTATTACATAATTCTTCAAGGCCACTTAAATTGGTTTTTCAAAGAACACCAAACGAAGCTATTTTTGCTTGGGATACCCGAGGTTTTGAATTATATGTGGTTATGGAACCTTTAACAGATGCTGGAACTGCTATTGAATTAGTTAGTAAATTATTAAATTGGATCAAAAAGCATGAAAATCGATTATTTCATTTAAGCGCGCCTACGTTTTAATTATCTGTCTTAAATTAGGAGTTATGTATCAACTAATAAATTTAGAGCAATATAAATAAATACGCTTTATTTATCAGTGCTAACTAAATAAAAGGTATATTTCAATATAACAAACTAAAAGATATATATAATTGAGAAACGAAATAGGAAGCTTTTTTTATTTTACAAAAAGTTATGGTACTAAAACGTCAAGAATATTCCATTGAACTGCTGTGATAACTTGTATATTGTTTGTAAATAATAATATGAAGAATTAATTGTGAACAATATTGCGTTGTTTTTATTTCTCGTTTGCTGAGTTGTATGATCTATAAAAAGAAGTATTTCATTAAATAAAAATTATAGTATGAAGATTTTTTTTTTTATTATAGATTTTAAATTTAAATTATTGTGTTAAAATGAGAGTGGAAAATCCTTGAAACCTGTAGTTGTTCTCTGACAACTTTATATTTGAGTTGTGGAGAAAGACCAAAGCTAAAATCGAACTGTTTGGAAACCAAGGTTGTCTCATCATTGTAAAAGGCTAATATTAGCGAAGTTAGAGGTGGGGTAATTTATCTAGGCTATCTCATCTAGCAGTTTAACGAGGAATTATTGTTGTTACAGCTATAAATAAATGTTCGCTAGCAATGAGATTACGATGTGCTGGACAAAGGGTCATTCGGGAAATAAGCTTCATGACATCAACCTCCGGGATCGCCGGAACCTTTCATTGCCCCAACAATAAGGTCTTTAATAGAGCTTCCAAAAGAGGTAACACGTAAGAAGTTTCTAAATTACCGGGACAGGACACCAGGATGTCGCCAAGCTAAGGAGGCTCTGATGTACACTGATCCTAAACGAACAGATTTATTAATCACTGGACACTGGCATCTACAGAAGCACTTACTAAACATGGGAATAAGTGACACCGACATCTGCAGAGGATGCGGTGAGGAGGAGGAATCAGCGGAACACATTTTATGCGACTGCGTGGCCCTCCAAACATTAAGGTTATCCATTTTTGGAGATATCCAGATTAGCATGAGTGGAATTAGGGCAGCATAACCAAGACAAATTCTAGCCTTTGCCTCCAAGGTAATATGGCTGGAAGGACCCTAATACTGACCAAATGAAGGAAGTAAGTACAAGGGATCTGCTGAGGTCAAAGTGCTGCGGGCGGTTCAGCCTGCCTTCCTGTGAATCCAGAAATAAATTTAATGTTCAAGGGTTGCGCACCATGTCTAAGACTAGATACGATTTTGGCAGCCAGCAATAGCTAAGCTATGTTTTCTAATTTGCAAAACCGTGCGAATGTGGCGAAAAGCAGTGGTCACCTAATACGCATCTAGCCTAAGTTAGATCTGGGAATCTACACGAAGGACGAAAAACCTTTATTCGTTGGAGGGTGCTAAAATTAAGGCAGGTTTCCTTTTCAATAGGACGATGTTGAGCCGACTCGAACTGAATAACCATTCTCCACCTGCATCCAAGTGGACTACCTGTACTAGCTATGAGTCGGAAACATGGACCTTAACATAGAACCAGAATGGACATAAAATTTACCACAAGAATTATCTTTGATCGCCGTGGACCTGTGGGTAGAAGATCGATTGGGAGGTCGAAGAGACAATTTGTGGACGATGTGGAGGACGACCTAAGAATGCTGTGAAGGTCAGGCGCGCGAAAATGGCGGGAAATGATTTGTAATTGCGAGACATGGTTCATAATGAGCTATAAAGATGTAGATCAGATAGTCTTGCAAAAAAAATAGGTTCCAACCTTCGTTATCATAAATAGAGCACAGATACTTGATATTATCGTCCTACACTTAATGGCTTTCAACTAGTTAGTGTAAAATCGTTTCAACTGAAGACCCTTGAAAAGGTTTTCAATGCCATTTCATTTTCAACCTGAAAAGTTGATATAACTAAGTAATCTAAGTTTTTAGACCTAAACCTAACACTCGACCGAGTTAAGCCGTGTATCATTTAATAAAGTGATTGATGTTTCGGATGCCATGTTCCAACGTTCTTCAGAAACAACTTTGAAAGTTTCTAGGTCTAATATTAGTTCAATTAACACTAGTCGTGAAAACTTTTGTTCTTGTAATATCAGCCTGGGAAGGATAAACAGACGAATCAAGGATTTTGACAACTTACGGATTAGATAACGCATTAAGTAGCTGGGTCTTCTTACGAAGACGCAACGAGAAGAAAATAACGCCATACCGACTGTGCTGCGACCCGTAGGATTTTGATTGGGACAAAACAAGCACTAATACGAAAAAGAATTCACAAGACCTTAAAAAATCTGCAGCAAATAAGTGAGATTTTTGTTCCCACTCTAGCGAGTGCTCGTTATAACCGGTCTTCACTGTATATCATTTTTAAGTAGGTATGGTTAATGAAATGAATAAGTTCGTGTTAAAAAATGCGAAAGATTTATTTGAAAACAAACTAAATAATATAAACAATAATATATACCTATGAATTAAATACTTATTTCTTATTTTTTAATAAACTTAGCAAAAAAAATTTCAACATTTAATGCCGAGTTAAAAACATCACCACTATTATCAGAAGAACGACTGCAACAACGCCGCTAAAAAAGAAGGAAAAAAAGAAGCAACCAACAAGTCGTCGGATGAAGAAAAAACATCAGCAGCATCAACGACATCATCATCAAACAAAACACCAACAACCACAACAACAACAAGATATTAGTAAACAACTTCTTGACTAACTGTATTCCAAACTTGCACCACCATTCGAATGGAATCCAACAAAGACAACAGAAAATCATTCTTCCAACACTTTAATCAATTTTATTAATAGATTTTTATTTTATGGTAGTGAACAGCAAAGTTGTCCACTAAAAGTAAGACTTCTACGTTTTCGCCCCAGAGTATACCACAACAACAGTACTTCATGTGATATCTTGATATGCTCGAACGTTATATCAAATAGACGTTATACTGTAAGGACCGAAAAAAACATACGTTATATCCGATTGGACGTAATAAACGGATTCTACAATACATATTAACATGTATCAGATGACGAAGTGCTTATGGTTTAAAAATAATCAAGTTTTGTACACCCTTTAGAAGTTTGCTGTTTTTTTATAATTAGCTCCCTAAAATTACGAAAATGTGCATAGAACGGTTGCATTTCTTTATCTGACGAATCGTCTATAAACGTTATTATATCATCGAGATGCGATCTGATGGTTGATAATTTCACCTTTGGCGATGTTTCATCTTTCTCGCTATCCTCGCTTTCAAGCTCATTATCGACTATCTTTTCTTCATTTGCCGTTTCATTTTCGGTCATAATTCGATACCCAGGATCACCTTCGTCTATTTCTAACCAATGTAACATATCTTCCTCGGCAACTTCTTCTCCAATATTGTTTAGTACAGCAGTGCAAAAATCGGGAGCTTCTAATCCTTCTAAATCAATATCTGTATCTCGATCATCAAATAAATTCGCCCACCCATTTTTGATTGTTTCGACTTTGACTTCTTTCCATGCAGCCGCGAAATTAAAAATGGTTGATTTTAAGTTGTAATTTTTTAAATTTTCCAACGTGCGTTGTACTCTTGTGTTTTCTTCGTCTTCCAATACCATTACTTCGTCTAAAAATTTTCTTCGATAAATTCGTTTAGTGGCTAAAATTATTCCCTGGTCCATAGGCTGTATCATTGACGTTGTGTTTTTGGGAAAAAACATGCAAATAAATTTGTCATCTTCTGAACGTAAAACGTTTTCAGATGGGTGGGCGAGAGAGTTGTGTAAAAGCAATAAACATTTCACATCATCCGGTGGTATTTCAAGTTTCTTCTCTTGAAATTTCCTAACTGCAGGTATAAATTCGTTAAAAAACCAATTTTTGAAAATTGTATTTGCTGTAAACCCTGCTTTTCGAGAATTATAATATGAAACGGGAAGACTGTTCATTATGTCTTTTATAGCTCGGGGTTTACGAGATTTTCCAACGATGACAGGGGTTAGTTTATGTGATCCATCGGCGTTAGCGCAAAGCAATGCTGATATTCTTTCTTTGCCAATTTTTTTTCCGGTTGTCAATGTTTCATACCTGAAAGCTTGCGTGTTTTCAGGCAAAGCACGCCATAATAAGCCAGTTTCGTCGGCGTTATAAATCTGGGATTGCAGTAACATTTCGTTATTAATTTGCTGTATTAATTTTTGCCGAAATGGTTCAATTTCATCTTTTGGTGCATTTAAAACATCGCTTTCGTCCTCGCCTTCGTAGTTTCGCTTATTAATAATTCCATGCCTTTTGCGAAAACGCCAAAGCCATCCTTCACTTGCTTTGAATGAAATTATGTTCATAAGGTTTGCTAATTTAATTGCGGCAGATTTAAGTTCGACTGCTCGAACGGCAGCCCCACAAGAACGTTGTTGTACGTACCACTTAAATAAAGCTTCTTCAAGTGAAGTTTCGCGTGCCAATTTCATTCGTTTTCTGGGTTTCGTTTTCGTATCTACATCGCACATTAAACTAAATTTGTTTAGTTTGTCTTTATTTTTTTTAATGTCCGAAACTGTTTGCTTTCGTATACCGAATTGCTCACATATTCGAGAAACAGACACTCCAGACTCCAACTGATTTATCACTTGAAGTTTTTGATTTATTGTTAAACTAACTCGTTTCCGTTTGTCCATATTGCAACCGTACGCGTACTTATTATAACTTTTTAACGATTTTTAATTTGCACAATGAATTATTTTAAAGCACACAAAACTCTAAATCTATACCGGTGCGTTCAGTCTACGTGGCTTTATGTTTATACATCTTAGACCTCGAATAAAGCAACTTGAGGGGAATAACCCGAGTTGGATTCTCTCTACGAGCGCTTAAATTTATACTGACTTAACTTACTATGACTTAAAAATGTTTTGTCCGTTATATCCGCAGTCCGATCTAATGAGGTATAACGGACCTCGAGATCAAGGTTTTACCACAGCTTTTACTGTATACCGAAAGCGCTCTCTTTTATTTAAAAGCTTAACTATGAGGATTTAGTGAAAACGGTTAGAAATCTGGGGAGTTTTATATTTTGATTTTTGATAGCGCCGCCAACATAAGAAATAAAAACTTCTCTTTCTATTGACCAGATTTTGCGTATGTCAAAGGTAACTTTAATTCTTATTTATTTTAGTCATCTTAACACAAAATCAAATTATTATAACAATAATCCAGTTTGAAAATACTTAAAATCAGCTTCATTAATACATTTAATCATTATTTAGTTTTATTTATCTCTAAACGCTAACTTAACCTCACTTTTTGTTATTTACAGTCTTAAATCTAAGAAAACATGGCAAAGTCGAAGAATCATACAAATCATAACCAAAGTAAGTTTATTTTACATTTAACGTTTTATTTATTGATTGATTTGTTTATTTTTTAGACAGAAAAGCCCATCGTAATGGTATTAAAAAACCAAAACGTTTCAGGCATGAATCAACTTTAGGGGTAAGCTTTACAAAATTTTTGTATCTGTTATATATTATTAACTTGTGCTTGTATTTATTAATTAGATGGATGCTAAATTCTTGAAGAACCAAAGGTTCTCAAAAAGGCATAACTTGAATCCAGCCCAACAAATAAAACGTGCCAAACAACACAAAGCTGAACGTGAAGCCAAGAAAAGTGCAAAATAAATGATTTGTGTTTTTAATGAAAATAAAACTTAAGTTTCTAAGTTAAAACTAGTTTTACTATAACAATTTTTATCTTGACTTAGTTTACTTGTTTTTTTATATCATGATTTTCTACAACATTATCAAATTTTAAAGATCTGTAAAATGGAAAATCATTTTGGGTACATACTTATTTGCTAATGTCATTACATTGTTTAATTTTTGAAATTTTAATGGTAGTGGTGTAAAATATGCAGCTGCTGAAGGTTCTAGAGATGTGTCCATTAGTTTTGGAAATCCTTAAGAATCAGAACTAGCAGATATTGAACATTGGATTCCTTTTACTTCATTGCTGTAAGATAGTACTCCGAGTTTTGATAAAGCAAATTTCTCCTTTTCCTTATTAGACGTCGTTTTCTTAAAATACAGTTTATAATGATCAATGAAATTCAATATCATAGATTCTTTTAATTACTTCGACGTTTTTTGAAGATTTCTTGTAATAACAGCGATATTCATACACGTTCTATTTTTCTCACGTATTTTTCGACGACTTTAAAAGATCGGTCACAAGGCAAAAAACCAGGCTCAAGAAAACGATGAACTATTTTTTTGATTCTGCCAGATTGGTCCAATGAATATAAATAACAAACAAGAGAAAAGTTTTTATTTTGCGCAGCACAGTTATCAGAAAATAAATACAATGTTTCAACATTTTTATCCAGTGTTTGTAATAAAGTGATGCAAAAAATTTATTGGTTCATTTGGTGTCTTTTTACCTTGAGTTTCATGATACCTATAAAAATATGGCTTTCCGAATTTGCCTGAATATACACAGAAATCAATCATCCAGAGTTGTCTTAAGTAGAACGCATCACCAGTAAGGACTCTAGGCAGTGAAACATTCTATTGAAAATCAAACGAAAGTGTAGGATCATTTCTCGCCAAAGTCTGCTTAATTTTTAGATCATCATAAAAAAGTTGGCATTTATTGAGGTGCAACTTCTTTTCTAATCTATCACAAGTTTGATTCGTGTTCTAGGGTGGCCAAAAGAATAGTTTTTGAAGTTTGATTTAAAAAAAATATGTATAAAATAAATCGTAAAACACCCCAGGCTTAATACTCAAGGTGCGTTGTTCGTTTTTTTGTTTAGTTTTCATGTCGCTATATGCTGCATGTTCATATGTCTTCAAGTATAACTCATACAGGAGCTGCCTTGTTGTTGCTATAATGTAAAGGTGGAGGCTGCTCCATTTAACATTGCCCCACCAGGATTCAATTCTGTCGGTGCCTCGTTGTTGCACCAACTGATGGCCACTATTTTATTAGATGCAACAGTGTTTTTAACTCATTTTTGACCAAATGCGGAGCTACCTCATTGGTGCTGCAATTACAGTACAAGCTCGATAATCTGGCACCATAAAATTTTTATCACTGCTGGATTACTGGGTTTAATGACAAAAAATCAGATGACGGCAATGTAGAAATCACTTCTACATTGTCGTCATCTGATTCAGTCCACGCTGAATTCATTCAGTACTATGTCTTCTGCTTCATTTATTAGATCTTCGTCAGTTGTCATCGTTTTGTTGCCCGGATCGTCCCCAAACCACGTTTCAATATCTTGCTCTGTGAAGTTCATTCAGCTTTTACTTCATTATTATCTAATGATGCCAACAACTTCCGCCATGACGATCGTATTACCCTCTCAAGTACACTATTTCAAGCCTCAGTCACGGTAAATACAGCATGTTTTAAATTCGTGTCTTTTAACGTTTTCGTGATATATCTTCTCGCAAAACTGCATTCAGGATTTTTTTTATAATAAGTCTTTATCATTTGGATCACATTTTGATTCATAAGTTGAAGCAGTGGTGTACAATTAGGTGGCAAAAATAGTGTTTATTGTCTAAAATAAGAAGTGCTTTCGGCGGAAAGTTCTTGCTTTTTAAAAAACGTCGTACTACTGAGACAAAATCATTGCGGAATTATTCTAGGAAAACTTCTTTGGCATCCCATGCTTGCTTTTGGTAACATTTTTAAATTCCCTAGGTGATCTCGCTTTGCCTATAAACAAACGTTGGAGTTTATGTGTACCATTAACATTGGCACAAGGGATAGCAGTAACCTTGTTTTTGGACACTTGTCTGCTTGGTACTTTTCGCTCTTCCCTGTAAACACATGCCTTGTTTGGCAAAACTTTCCAGAACAATCCACTTTCATTGGAATTTTAGTCTTATGACCAGGGGTTAAATTATTATCATGTACTGTTTTCCTGACTGAGTCTCAGTTATTAATGAACACTTTTGCAATTAAAAAAACTATTTCTTTTTTTTATTCATTATTATTACAAAAATAAATTAATCGCAGTAAAATATTAAAATCATATAAAAATACAGAAAAAATCTTATGCAGTATCTCCATCATCATCACATTGTTTATTTACATATTCAGAAAGACCTTTGGCGGCCAATTTTCGTACTTTGTGTTTATTGATAGATTTCATAGCTGATTGGTGTCTTTTAAATCCTTTAATTCCTGGTGATGGTCTCGCTAATTGCGGTTCTGGGAACCGAACATCTTTACTATGACCACCCATACCATCATAATGATAATCACAATTGAATGGTTTAGTCGTTTTTGGTAGTAATAACTGAAAAATAAGTAAAATAAATAAAGAAAAATTATATAGTATTCAACAGAAGGAGTAAACAGGAAAAGAAACAATGCGATTGAGATGTGGCAACAATTGGAGTGCAGGGACAGGGATGTGGAAATGCAAGTTGGTAGCCAGGTTTAGATGTGGCAATGAAGAAAACGCGAATTGGACACTACACTATGTTAATTAATTATCGTACCCGACATCATCATTGCAAGTATGCAACCAATATCACAGTATGTGTATTGCAACACGCGATTTGCGTATTGGGTTGCATACTTGCAATGATGACGGCTACGATAATCAATTAACACACTGTATGTGGGGAAGGCTGGGAGTCTTTACACCATCTGGTGGTGGAGTGTAGTGACTTGAGGGAAGAAGAGATGGATTGGAGGCTGGTACTGGGGGAGAGGGCGTAAGGAAGGAGATGGATGGGGAAGGTGGTGGCAGCAAGGAGATGTAGGGTGACAGGGAAACCTTGGTTAAAGGAATTATATGTTATAAGTATTGTAGTATAAATTGTAACCTTCTAAGAAACAATAAATTATTATTAAATAAATAAAGAAAAATAATCAAAATGAAAATATTACCTGTCCTATTGTTTTTTTAACACCTTCATTGGATTTAGTGACTACTGGGCTTATTATACAAGATAGACCCACACTGCTACTTTTTATTGCTGGCGTATAAGTTAAATCTAAGTGAAGTTTTGAACCAGCATTTTCAGTCTAAAACATTAAAATTTATTTAATAGATAATAATAATAGTCATATATTGTATATTTACTGCAGGTAAAGATTTAGATGGCTGCTTTGGTGAATCTAAAATAAAACAATCCGAGTCTGATGATTTATTAACATAAGTTGAATCAAGACAAATGGGCGAGTTAGTAGGCTTTAACTTAGGAGCTAAACATCTTCTTCCCTTATTTTCTTTAAAATCCTCAAATTCCTTTTTTACATCTACCAACTCATTTTTCAATTGAGTAATATTGGCATGCAAAACTTTCATTGTCATATTATCATATCGATGTTTTCTTTGATTTTCAACAAGTTCCCTAAATTTATAAAAACAATAAGAAAAAAACAATATTTTTTTAATGTTTTATATACAGATGGTTTAAATTTTAATCAGGAAACTTTACTTTTAGGAGCCAAAATAACACAAAGTTTTGTTCCTAGTAATGTTTCCTGATCAAAATCTGAACCACTACTTTTATCATACACACTTTTTTAATGTTTGCACCATTAAAGATAAAGATTTTGGATCATGATCATATTTAAGCATTTCTGTAACTTGATCTTTGCAACCCGATATAATCAAGTCAATGTTTTGCATATCTTTTATTTTGATTGACAAGGATTTGTTTTCATCTCGAAGTTGTTCAAAATCTTTTACTTTTGTTTTAAAATATTGCACTTGGTCCTTTAAGCTACGAATAACGGACTCGTAAGTTACTTTGTCAGATTCATGTTGTTGTATCTCGGTCCTTAAATAAAACAACAAAACATATTTTTCACAACAAAATATAACAAAACAAACCTTAAAAGTTCATTTCGCTTTTTCTCCTTTAACATCTTTTCTTCGTTCTTTTTGATATCTAAATCCTTGAGCTTAATTTGAAACAATGCATTATCTAGTCTTATTTGTAAAGAACCAACATCTTCGACAATCCCTGAAGTATTTAGTGAGGTAACGTAGAGACGTATCATATCTTTTTCTGTAACTTTACATCGGCATTGGGGACAACTTTTTGATCTATTAATAAAAACAGCAATAATATAGTTGCATTTAATAAAATTATGTTTTGTGCCAAAAATATTACCTTTGAAGCCATTGAATAAGACAAATATAATGAAATATATGCCCGCACGTTGTTGCATAAATATCAATTGTAGGATTAAGAATGTCGCTACAGATTATACAAGTAAAACTCATAGTGAAAATAGTACAGGTTAAAATAAAAGTCTTAAAAAATAATTAGGTGAATAATTGGATTAAAATTTGTTATAAAGGATTACTATAAGCTGGGATGGAAAGTTACTTGGCGGAGAATGAACGTTTACGTGATGGAGTAGTATTAAAAAACAGGATCAAACAGGATCTCTCCAAGAACGTTTTTCTTGTACACAAAAACTTGACGTTTATTTAAAAGCGGGATGTAAAACTAATGTTACCAACGTGATATTATTAAAAAGTACTATGGAAATGTCGGTAAAGTAGTTTTATTGTAGTGGATAATTTTCTTTGTTTAATAAATTTAATGTTTAATTTTATAATTTTTTCCAAAAAAACTAAATAAAATATTTGTTTTGTAACTAATTCTTCTAAATCTAATTCTATTTAATACTTGTAGTGGAAAAGATGGCGCTCGTTAGTCAAAATTTACTCTTCAAATAACTCACATTTAAAATTTTCATTTTGAATTATTGAATAAAATAGAAAATTATGTTACTTTTTAATAACATTGAAAATAAGTTAAAAAAATAAAAACAAAAAAATAAAAGAAAAAAGAAATTATTAAAAAAAAAATTTTGCCGAAACCCGGGATTGAACCGGGGACCTTTAGATCTTCAGTCTAACGCTCTCCCAACTGAGCTATTTCGGCTATATATAATGATAAAGAAAATTAGCCTGATATATGCTTAAGTTACACTGATAAAAGATGATTTAATGAACGAAATGTCACTTTATTAAACTTAAGTAATTACATTAATAAAAATTAAATTATAATGAACGCTTAGAATTTCTTCTTCTTTATCATTTCTCCCCAGACGCCATCACAATGTTGGGGTGTTGTTGGGATCCTCTATCTATCTTCTAAAACTATGTTAGTTCCTTTCCATATTCTTCACTTCCTCCTCTCTTGCGCAGTATCTCCATCCTCCCATTTTATTCTTGGCCTGCCTCTCCTTCGTTTTCCAACTATTCCCATTTCCATTACTCTTCTTGGAATTCTTTCTTCTGGCGTTCTGACTAGGTGTCCATACCAACTCAGCTGCTTGTTTTCTATTTCAGTTACTTAGTTATTTATTCTAAATCGTCTCTTATAGTTTTGTTTCTAATTCGATCCATTCTGGCTTTCTTCACAATCCTTATTTAAAATTTTATTTCAGCTTATATTATTTTTGATGTATGGGCCTCAAAGTAAAACTTTACTATCTCTTTCTTCTCACCAGACACGTTCACGTCCATTAGGAGATTTTAAGTTCTAAACGAAGGTTTGTTAGAGAAGAAAACCTTTTTATATCATTAACAGACCAAAGTTGATGATTTCTGGTAAAACGCTATCTTTAAATTTTGTGCTATCTGGTCTTCTGGTCTATCAGACGTCTTCTGATAGTTCGAAACGATATTACAACATTACATACTTACCGTTTTTTATGGATTCTAAGTACCGAGTACTACATTCATACTTTCTGAACAACCTCCACATATCAAAAACAAAATATCCAGGAAATGTGCTGATTCCGATTACGAGTCAATAGGAATTCCGGGTTGAGACCAGATTTGTACCTGCAAAATTAATCTTTAAAAACACATTCAACTTTTGGTGAGGAGCACAATACGACGCAGTACGGCGCAGAAGTGTGGGGATGGATTGCAACTAGGGTTGGCGAAGGAGACTCCAAGGTATGTAGTGAGGGAGGAGGTTAAGGTGAATGCAGTAAGGGTGGAGGCTGACAGAAGAGCAGTGAAGTACGAGGATAGGATAGAAGAAAAGCCGCATATATGGGCAGGGACAGGGACATACATAGCCAAGAAAGAAGGTCACAGATACGAGAAGGAAGATATAATATAAGGTATGCGGAGATAGTTACAAAAGAACTGCAGAGGATTGGCAGACGCTGGAACACAAGCTGAGAGGGTGTAGTGAGCTGAAGGAAGAGGCGATGGACAAGAAGCACTATTTTATTGGATACAACAGTGTATTTAACTCATTTTTGACCAAATGCGGAGCTGCCTCATTGTAGAGGCAGAATTTGGGAGAGGGGGTGAAGGCGAAAGATGGATGAGGGCGGTAATTGGAGCCTGGGTGTATAAATATATTGTAGAATATTGTAAATTAAAAACAATAAAACGCTTATTACACATTCAACTTTTGCTCAGGGTGCCACAAATGCAAAGTAATGATTACCTGTGGGTGATCATGGAGAGTCACTTGGCACTCATTTGTAGAACAATTTAGGCACTGTAAAGTGAGTCACTGTCCTATTTTGAAGAACACAGCACTCAGTAGCAGGGTTAGAACCAGACATACACATCTAAACGGAATCCTGCAACTCAAAAAATCTCTAGGCTGGTTGGTGTAGTTTGAGAAAAGATATATATAAAGATTGATTTATTTAAATTTTGTACTAAGTTAGAAAACATTTTAATAAATATTTATAAATATAACAAAATCATTAAAAGTAATCTAAAAACAATTATAAAGAAATGTCAAAAATGTCAAAATCAAATTAAAAGTACCTAAAAATCTATTTTTTTAATGACGTTCCAAATGATTGCATCGATTGCATATCGAAACCGTGATCGCGCGAAACCGTCTTAATGCCCCCCAAATCGTAATTGTAAATTAAAAAATGGAAGATCTCTTAACGTTATCGAAAAAAATTCTCAGTCAAACGGCGACAATTCACATTTATTCGTTTCCGAATTTTACGTTAGAAATATTTTTGGCAATCGTCATGTTTATTATATACATTTATTTAACGTTGGAAATTGCGCAAATTGCAAAAACGGCGATTAAAACGCGCCCAAATACGATAATCAGAAAAAAGATTAAAGGTAATAAAAACGTTCTCTTAAAGTGTTAACCATTTCATTTTCCCTTTTTTAGAAGTAAATAGTAGTTTATCGATTTGTTCCTCATCGTTTTCAAAGTATCAAGACACTTTTAATCCTCATTATGAACCGATTCATCCATCAACTCATCTTGCTTATAAAAGGATATCGTCTAAATGTAGTTCGCATTCACAGTTGGGTTGGATCATGCCGAATATGGTAGGAGTTGGTTCTTGTACTTTCCCAGATCTAGAGAATTCGGGAAATTTTGATACAGTCGCATCGATGACCCCAGCTGAATTTGTTAAAAAAGAAAAGGAACGGCGATTGCGCGAAAAAGAACTTCAAAAATGTTTCGAATCTTTAACAAGTTTATATGGCAGTGTTATTGATAGAAAATATTCAGTAAATACGCTTCAAAATAAATTGGAATTAGCTAAAGAAAGTGTTCAATGTGGTAAATGTAATTTAGGTGATATAGATGTTGGTTTATCCGCTGCGATGACAGATAGTTTATTTGATTTATTGGAAAAAATTGTTTTACCAAGTTCTTTGAATAATCCACTTCCTTTTAATGGGGATATGACAAGGTTAGTTTTGGATGCAGGAGATCTTAATTTAAATAAGCAAAATTGTAATGATCCCACTAATGATGGTGTTTATGAAAGATCTTCCACTTCTAGTACGTCTTCAAGTGAAATTATTCCAATTAAAATCAATAATAACATTGCAAGTTATTAAGTTTTTTTTCGGAAAATGATTTTTTGTTTGTAAAATTTTTCATTTAATAAAATAAAGTAAGTACTCACATATCTTAAAAGTCTCCGATTCGAAGATGAATCCCTTTATATTAATCTGAAATCAAAAAATAAAAAAAATTATTTTGAATCCGGCCCTGACTATAACTTAAAACTAAAATATTAAAAGAAAATTAAATTGTTTATAGAAAATAAGCGAAGAAAATCAATAACAAATATCATGGAAGAAAATGGTTGTTGAATAATAAATATTAACTTTTATTAAAATAAAACAAAACTCAGTTTAATTTTTTTAATTAATTTTACAAAAATATAAAATAAACAATTTAACAATAATCACACGATTTGATATGAATTTAAATAAACTTAAAAAGTAATCACAGCCAATTTTTTTGTAAAAACATCCAAAAAGCGTTAATTATAAAAGTTTTGTTACAACTTAACCTCTCCAAATTCTAATTTCAAAAAAAAAAAACAACTGGGTTAATTCCCAATTTTATTAGTGAATCTAAATCATAAATAATTTTAGTTAAAATAATAATAATTGGATTTCAAAATAGGAGGTATTAATAGAAGGAAAATTGAAAATTGGAAAAATCGTTACGGTCCTGTTCAACATTCGAGTTGAGGTTATGATCGCCGCCATGTTGCGATCGAGAAAATGAAAAGTTTCGGCGGGAAATTCAAAATTGAATTGAAATTTTAATTACCGGAATATTTTTATTAACAAAAATTCGTCCTAGCAAGGTTTTATTTGTAAAAATCAGGTTCATACAGATTTTTATTATGAGAAAGAGAAGAAAATTAACGAAAAAAAAAAATATTTATATGTGCGAAGTACATAAACGATTTTCTTATTAGTTCTGATTAAGTTTTAAAAGAAAAATAAAAGAAACATTAAAGAAGTTGTTGTAAATAATCACTAAAATGTGGATGGTTCTTTTATTTTAATTTTTTTACTACGAGAACAAAAAACAAAAAGAAATAAAATTATAGTGGTATCAAATAATGTTCTTGAAATTAATATTTAAATTTCAGTCTAAATTGTTAAATGAATATATTTTGGTAACAATATATTATTATAAAGGTTTGATAATTGAAATATCGAAAACTTTTCAGATAACTCTCATTAATAATAAAATCTAATTCATTATACAAAGTTTTAAATATTCCATGGAACTAATAAAGTTCATTCCTTCATTTCCATAAAGATATTTTTGTCTTATATTGAAATCATTATTAATTATAATAAAACGGACTCAATTTTTGTGGGGACATCAATACAATTTGCTCGCTTCTTGATTAGTTTTTACCAAAATGTATTCATTAAACTCTATTTTATTATTATTTACACCTTGTTACAAAATTTGTACATATTTACAAAAAGGTTATAAACAAAGTACAGGTTCCAACACAAAAAAGACCTAACCTAACTGTTTTTTAAACTGCCTTTTAAAATCATCCTTATCAATTACATTTTTGAACAAATAAAAACAATTTCTTATTTAGTATTAAGAAAAAACACTCATTTAAAAACTAAAAAAAAAAAAAAAATAAACATTTTTAAACCAATTTTTTTCGTAACCTTTTTTAATTTAATTAATTAAAATGTCCTCCACCTCCTCCACGAAACCTTCCTCTAAAAAACCTTCTTGGTCCCCTTCCACGGTTTTTTCTGCCACCCCCCCAATTACGCCTTGCGCCCCTAAAATCACCTCGGCCTCGTTTATTATTACCTCTTCCACGTCCGTTAACAAAATTGTTATTATTAGGAATAAACATCATGTGTGGTACAGGCGGTAATATTCCTCCATGGTGACCACCAGGTCCACATGGAAAGGGGGGCCCTCCCATCATATGTTGTTGTTCGTCCCATTGACCCCCACTTTCATCGAATTCTTCTCCAAAAATCAAATTATCTTCGTCTAAATCATTATTGAGATCATCTAAAATGTCGTTTGCATTTGCATCCGCTTCATCAGAAAATTCTGGAAATGGGGGTGGCGGTTCTAACGTTTTATTGTTCTCATTTAATCGAACAAATTTGAAGTTGTCATTAACGGGATCTTCATCACTTAAATCCATATCGATGCTTTCCACGTTATCGACTCCTTTTCGTGGGGATTGATTCCTTTTATGGTTAGATTTTTGCTGCATTATCTGTATTTGTTGACTGTTTGGGGGTGGAGGTGGAGGAGGTAATTTTAATGCGTCAAATGTGAACGGGAGGCGATAATCTCGATCGGCTTTGTCTTCTGTTTGTTGACCTTTACGATAATCCTAGGATAACATGAATTTTTTTATAATTAATAATAATTTAATAATAATGACATGTTTTTATTTATTGAATAAAATTTGCGATTAAAAATAAACGAACCTGATCTCCTTGTCCACTCCAACTGTTTGATTCTCCATCTTTTGGTGAACCCGTGAGACTTATCAAGTTCCGGTGGTCGATATCCTTTTTTCTGTGGCCTATTTGATTTAGCATAGTAACAAAATTCACCAACAATAATGAAAAGCGCAATTAAAAAAGATCAAATATAGTATTTTGTTTTTGGACGAAACAATAAACCTAAAGTGTAATATTCAACAACCATTTTCAAATCAAAATATTTTAAAAGAAATGTATACAGGGTGTTTTATTTTCTAAATGAATTAAATTTACAAAAAACCATTTCAACATGATCAAAAGCGATACACAGGGTTGTTTCCCTGTTGACACTTATTTAACATTTTTGAAGCATTTCATAAAACTGTTTCAAATTAATTTATATTACCAGTACATGACATAGCGAGTCGGTGTTTCGCACAATCTTCGTGTAGCACTTTGTCTATGTTTATAACAGTTTAATACGTTATATTTGTTTACATGTAGGATGAAATGGAAGAAAATGTCAATAATCTGGTTGCCTCCGAGTAAGATTTAGTAAAAGAACAAGAAGAAAAAACTTGGCAAAGAACTAGGAAGTGATGATGAAGTTGAATATGATAAGGTCTTTATATTGGTAAAAGTAATACTACAAACTGAACAACTTTATGGAAGAAATAATTTCGGCCGACTTCGAAGACGTCGGTCGCCCCAAGTATCATGAACAATCCCTTCGCAAAACCCTTCAAGGGTTTAGGGCAAGTGTAGGTCGTTGATGAACCTTAGTGTTGCTCCAAGGTCTTGTACCTTACGTCCTTTATGTTCTTTATGTAAGTCTCAGGCGAACTTTATCTAACTTTACTTGTAAGGTTTTAAGGTATAGGAAATTTTGTTTGAGTGTTAATATAACTTGTTTAGATACCTTTTAGAAAGAAGTTTCAAGAACTGAAAACGTCAGATTGAAGATTAGTTCATACCATTCAAACATAAGAGTG